CCACGCAGTCTCTCATGACGTATTTGAATAAGGACTGTGTGTGGGGGGCGTGGGGCGAGGGGCTAAATGGTTCAACCACGTGCTGCAACGAATCGATTAAATTTCCTTAATGTCAAACCATAAATTTTCAGTTGTTTCAGCATTGTCAACGACCTTTCAACCCAAGACAAGCACACACAATCTTACTCCCACACACTCACAACAGATACATATAGCTAAAAAGTGACAGACCCTGAGCACAAGAAAAGAAAAAAAGAAAAAGAAAAAAAAAAACACCAAAAACGAAATTATGTCTAACATCGCATGGTCCCGACTTCCACTGCTCAGTTAAGTGCCATATGAGGGTATAATATAAGCTACGCATACATACATATGTATATAGCTGACTGTGTGTGAATATGTGTGCATGCATGTGTGCATGTATCTGCATACATATGTACATATATGTAATTTGTTTTTTCCTTCCATTTGACTGGGTGTATATTACCGTTATGCTTTGTTTATCTTTTTGTTTCCTTCAAGCGATTTTGTATGCAGTGATTTTGTTGTATACCCTGTAGCCAATGCTAGGTGCAGCACTGACTCTCACATGCTGTAGGTTGCAGAGAGTCATAATATTTAATACTCAACTTTGATTGAAGTAGTTCACAGATTAATTCACAATTTCTTACAGTATTAATATTCATTGACAGCAATTCGATTGCCAGGTCATCGGCTAGTCGATAACTCCCCACAGAGGCACTATGACTTGTATTGTTTCTCTTTTTCGGGCCTCATATGACCCGGCGAAATGAGAGATTTGTGTAAAGATTTACGCGCTACACAAAAATGAACTTCTGTAAATTTATGTGCATTACAATCACACACTAACACTCTCACACATTTTGCCTGGCCGTGTGTCTGTGTGTGTGTGTGTGTGTGGCTCTGAGCTCCATCGTCAGGCTGGTCAAATGACTCCACTAAGTAACTAACGCTATTAGCCGCTTACGCTGGAGCATCGGCCCTCGTTCTGGTCGGGCATTTTTATTGCTGCATTCCTCAAAGCGGCATCAAAGTATCTGCGGCAAATCTCTGCTTAAGTCGGCTTTGGAGTTTCAGCTGTATGCAGAGAGGGGTTTTCTTAATGTGCCACACATACAGAGCAACAACTGTAGATACACATATACGAGTATTTGTATGTAGACATCACCTTTGTGCCGTTGTTTGTGTAGTTGGCACTATTAATTTCTGACAATATTTGCTCTGCTTGGAATTAAAACTGTATCTACTGCCGCTTATCCACACAACAGCAACGAGTCGACTTACTACATTCCTAACTAATTGTCTCTAAATGCTCGTCAGCCTTGGCTGAAATTCTCTAAGGGCCACACAGCTACCAGAAGCCACAATAAAACCGGTATTTGTAGCAACAAATGTCTAGAGCAAACGTGATTTAATAAATTTCTCCATTTCAAAGTTTTGCACATTTTCAGTCTGTTTCTGCAGAGCAATTGAAACATTCCACATTTCCAATTAAATGTTCTTAGAATTTCCAACCACTGCACCTCTAGTTCTAGTTTTGGTTGTAAATCTAATTGATGTAGCTATGAGTCGAGCCTATTTGTTTTAGAGTAAAGCCAATGCAATTCGCAAATGCAAAAAGTGTAGCATACTTTTGAGCGCAGTGTTAAAGTAAATGCACTTTCATTTCAAATCTTTTGCTTCTTTCTTGTGTTTACATTTTTACTATCAAATTTCTACTTCTTTTATAGTTGAAGCAAATATTTCTGCAGTAATCCAGTGAATATGCCTCTGCTTAGACTCTTCAATCGAACCTTTTGCTCTCATTCATTTTTTTTTTAAAGCATTTTATTTGTAATGTACAGGTTCTACACTTAATAGAATAAAAAGAAAAAATTTAAAATAAATTACCAATTAAATTAAATTATATGTAGTTCAATTAAAAGTTTTCATGCTTTGCTTTTAGATAATGAAGAAACTATGGGAACTGACTTTCTCTATAGTATATTTGTACGTAGCATTTGTACGTTTCAATTGCTGTCAAACTACTATCAATTTCCTTGAAATGGAGATCAATATAACATTTAACATCGAATATGTATAAATCGTGTAGAAAAATTGATTTCATGATCCAAGGCCCTGCCATTCGCATATCTAATAAGTGTAGCATACTAAAGTATAAATAAATTGACAAAAATTCTCGAATTGCTTTGATATGCATGCTAATGATTATATTTCGAATATAAATTTATGACTCTATACAAAATGTAAAGCATTATTTCGATTATCAGCCAGAGCCATATGCAAATGGTTCTTGCGTCTAGACTCTGCTCTGATATGCACCTATATAAATTAACACATTTCAAGCGCATTACCAGCTCTAAATGAACTTTGAGCGAGTATTACGCCATCGGCTACGACCGCTCATAATCAACGGCCGTAGTCAGCCAGCAGCTGTGCTTGTTTCCATAAAAAATTACCAATAATTTATGAATATTTGATATGCAATTTGTCAGACTAAGCGCGAGGAGACGCAGATCCTGACACCTGCGAATGCTTTCAGCCAAATTTCCTTGAAGCACATGCATATTCAATGAGATCAGTTTTTGCCATTGGCTTTAATAGAAATCCATACATTACAAACAGTTGACTCAAACTCAGACACATCATAAGCAGCATCTGAGACCTGCCCCAAACTGAAACGCGCC